ATTTTGTTTTCATATTCTTCTTCTCTTGTGAATTTGATGTCGTTGAAGGTGTTGTTTATTATGTTGTGGGTATTGTCTAAGTTTTCTCTTTTGATTATCACGAATGTATCATCTATGTAGCGTATCCAAATTTTCGGTTTGATCTTTGGCAGAATTATGTTTTCCAGTCTTTGCATGACGGCTTCCGCAATCAATCCTGATATGGGTGATCCCATAGGTGTCCCTTGAATTTGTTCATACATTTGGCCGTTGAATTGGAAATAAGTTGTGAGACACAAGTTTATGCATTCCATCCAACTTGAATGCTGCATTTTTGATTGTTGTATGTGTTCGTCGTTGTTGAGTAGTTGTTCCATGGTTTCTTTTGCTAGTTTTAGTCCAATCGAAGTATATAATGCGGTGACGTCGAAGGATACCATTATTTCTTGGCTGTCTATTTCAATGCCTTTGATTTTCTCTAAAAATTGGGTCGCAGATTGGATGGAGTGATCACATGATTTCGTCAAGTGTTTCAGTCTTCTGTATAGTTCTTTGGATAAATTGTATGTTGGGGTTCCTGGGAGTGATACGATTGGTCGTAGAGGTATATTTGGCTTGTGTATTTTTGGTCTGCCGTAGAATCGAGGTATGACGGGTCCATTGGATTTCATTCGCCATTGATCTTCTTTTGTGATCTGACCCGTTATGGTGAGTTTGATTAGGGTTCTTTGGATGCGGTTGTTTATGTTTCGATGGGGTTTGTGATTAGGCATTGAAATAGACAGCCAAGAAATAATGGTATCCTTCGACGTCACCGCATTATATACTTCGATTGGACTAAAACTAGCAAAAGAAACCATGGAACAACTACTCAACAACGACGAACACATACAACAATCAAAAATGCAGCATTCAAGTTGGATGGAATGCATAAACTTGTGTCTCACAACTTATTTCCAATTCAACGGCCAAATGTATGAACAAATTCAAGGGACACCTATGGGATCACCCATATCAGGATTGATTGCGGAAGCCGTCATGCAAAGACTGGAAAACATAATTCTGCCAAAGATCAAACCGAAAATTTGGATACGCTACATAGATGATACATTCGTGATAATCAAAAGAGAAAACTTAGACAATACCCACAACATAATAAACAACACCTTCAACGACATCAAATTCACAAGAGAAGAAGAATATGAAAACAAAATCCCTTTCTTAGACGTCTTAATCAAACGAACAACTACAGGAAAATTAGAAACCCAAGTATACAGAAAACCAACGCACACGGATCAAATACTCAATTACAACAGTAACAACCCAACATCACACAAAATTAGCTGCATACGTACATTGTTCAAGAGAGCCAGGACTCATTGCAGCACTCCCGCCTTGAGGAAAATTGAAGAAAATCATCTTATGGACGTCTTCCAAAGAAATGGATACCCACGAAACTTCATCAAAAAACATCTACCCCCAGCTCAACCAACCAAATCAAAGGCCACCAGCGAAAACACAAAGAAAGTCGTCCTACCATATATAAAAGATATCTCCGAAATCACTGCAAGACTATTCAAACCTTTTGGAATTGATGTCGCTCATAAACCAACAAAGTCACTACACTCAGTTCTATGTAAGCCAAAGGACTCAACGGCAAAAGAAGACAAAACTAACGTCATCTACAAGATAAATTGCAACGACTGCGACAAACATTACATTGGTCAAAGTGGACGCCCTCTTCGTCTTCGCATTCACGAACACAAACTAGCTGTCAAAAGACACGACATACACTCCCTCATATCACTACATGCAGACAACCACGGGCACCAATTCGACTGGGACAATGTTCAAATCTTAGACAAAGGGGACTGCAAAAATGCCAGAGAATTCCTAGAGGCCTGGTATTCAAATGAATCAGCAATCAATAGACACATAGAGATTGACAAAATATACCAATCCATACGAAGAAATTCACACAAAAACAAAGTCAAACTTCAGGTCAAGGAAACAGTCAACACCAAAACAAGTGAACTAGAAAGTGAGAAGTCACACAAAAACAACCAATCACGTTCAAGGTTAGCAGAAGGAATGACTAACGACATTCAGACCAAAGAAGCAGCCAGCACCGAGACAAGCAAACTAGGGGATGAAATGTCACACGAAAACAACCAATCACGTTCAAGGTTACTAGAAGAGATGACTAATAAACTCATAGAGAATTCTAAAAGCTCACTTCACATCGAAGTATGCGCTGAAGATGTTGCTCAGTAGAGCAATGAAAGCTTCGCAACCAAACCATCCAGCTCAGAGAACACAACCACACCAAAAGCTATTATTATTATTATGTAAAATCACAATGATCCCTTTTTCAACCAGCAATACATGGATACGACTAACGAGGAAAACACAGAACAGGAGTGAGTAGAAATGTGCTACTGAAGCTCTATGTTCAACTCAGAACCCAAAGGAATAATAACGCTGTCTCATGTCATTTACTTTTTAATATTACGATCGATACTTAGCTTAATCACATTAGGCAAATTTAAACAAAACTCCTACTGATACCATAACTAGCTACTTAATTAGTTATTTACTCAATCACTTAATTATTGAACAACTCCACAACTCTGAAATGATGGAGATTTAAAGCTCATATCGGAAGCCCATCCCATCTTGAAGTTCATGCTAAAGGATTTGTCGAGATAGATCGTGACAGCTTCGTCATTTAATCATTCATCTCAGCGAATGTCATAATACCGGAATTTGAAACCCATTCGCCTACACAACTTATTACCAAACTAACTGACTAAATTTACAGAATTATGAGTTTTTGATTTTACCAGGCTAAATTCCTCTGAATACACAACGTACCAGATTCGACTGAATATTATTTAAGAGGCAAAAAACAAGATATCCGATTTGCTTCAAGTCTGACCACGGATTGAAATCAGTCGCAGTATCATCGAAAACCAGGGAGTACTACATAACTGTTTCGTCCTAGTTTGGGATCCCTCATCAGTACGCACCCACGGTCAGCGTTCGAACTCAAGACCTTCCAGTTACAAGGGAAGCTGCGACCTGACCTAAAGGCCCATGAATCCTAATTTCTACCATGTAGGGTTTGAGGGCGAATCCTCGCCACACTGATGACACTGACTGGTGGTGGCGCTAAAACCATGAATCAGTATAAGTTAGAATCCATGGGCCTTTGAGTAGGGTCCGATTGGCTGAATACTCTACGACCTTGCCTCCTGATCGGAAGGTCCTCGGTTAGAAACCCAATGGGTGAATACTAATGAAGAGTCCCAAACTAAGACGGAACAGGTATCCAGTACTCTAATACTGGTTTTCAATGATTCTTTAATTGATATTAATGCGGAGTCAAACTTCTAGCTTAAAGATATACAATAGAAGACCAAATAACTGCGTTAAACGTAAACTTTTGTTGAGAGAATTTCATCTGGCAGTTATAGGAATTCATTTGTCTAGTTAGACATTTTATAACAACTTCCAGCTTGATACCTTAAAGGCATCACAACTTCAGTGGTCAGCTAACTGAATGTATAAGTATCTAACGTGTCAGTGGAATTTTCGTTTCTAAGTTTAATTTAATAAATTAAAAGTTCAATTAGCTCGTTGCTGCCCCTCCATTCCCAGTAAATCTTTGACTTAATGTAAAATTCGATTCCTTTTCCAGAAAGTAAGAAGCAACAAAGACAGGACTTCGAGTGAACATGGAGAAAATAGATGTGATGGGGATAACCAACCAACCAACGAACCAACCAACAACAATGACCAGCACCAATCACTATTAATGGAAGAAACTTGAAAGAGGTCACTTCCTTCACTTATCTAGGAGTCATCCTTTCAACTACAGACGGCAGCACTGATGACGATTTCAAAACTAGACCGAATCAGAAAAGCAAGTTAGATATTCATCACTCTGAAATCAGTTTGGAAGTCTTCTGAACTCAATACACAGAAAAGAGCAGTACGCACCCACCGGGATTCGAACCCAGAAGGTCCTGGGTTCTTATCAACAGCTGCCTTCACTGGATCCCTAGTGAAGATCAGATGGCAAGCCAGAAAGAATTAGCAACAAGAAACTCTGTGAACAGACCAACCAAGAACCTTTTGTCAACAAATATTCCAAAGACGGTAGAGATAGTTTGGACACAGGTTGAAAAGAACGATGGTTGACATAGCATGACAGGTGGTACCTCAAATGAAACCCAAGTGGGAAACGATGACTTGAGGGCCGTTCCGAGGGTGGCATAGAGGAGATCCTGTTGGAAGGAGATGATAGTCCTTATAGGAAACCATGGATCCAAATAAAGATTGCTGCGAAGAACAGGGCAAAGTAGAGACGTCAGCTGAAGCCCATGTTCCGCTCGGAGACCTTGAGAATAAGAATATAATATTAATTGACAGAAGTTAGCAGTTATCTGAGGATAATCAAAATTCTTCAGAATTTATGGGGCGCACCTGCTAAACAGCATATTACTAACGAGAAACCACCCACACCAATAAGTAGAATCTGAAATTTAGACGATGGCTATTTAAACGCCATTCTAAAGAGTTGTGCATATGGAATAACTCAGCCCGCATAACCGGATCTGTTTAGACTACCCAAAAGCTCTCTGGATAATTAATCAGACAGGTAATAGCTTCATTCAAAGTATCCAATGGATCCTAACTCGTCATCTGATCATTCTGGTTTTCGTTAAAGAGATCTTGGTGAATGCGTACTGTTGAAGAGTCTCAAACCGGGACGAAACAGCTATCCAGTACTCCCTGCAGGTTTTCCAGTTGTTCTCTAACTGATGTCAGCTCATGATGAAATCCTCCAACCAATCAAACAAAATCAATACTTGAAAAGATCCCAATAAATCCTCAATATGTGGACATCAGAAATTTAATTCAGCCTTCTGTTTCACTGAATTAAATTATCTTTTTTAAAAAAAATCAAAATTAAATTCAATAAAGGTATTAGAACTATTCAATATGTACTAACTAGTTTAACTTACATCATCCCATGTAAATGGTATAACAGGCCTGGATAATTCAAATATTTCTGTAACATTTCTGCCAACTATATTGGGCAATGCATTCACCATACTTCTTCCAATATTTAATAATTTCATACCACGATTAAATACAAAATTGAAAGGAAATGCTTCAAAAAAGACAATAGCTGGAACTGGTAATTCTTCTTCAACATTTGAAAATGAATGATTTTGAAAATGTAATCGTAGAATTGTTTCAGTCTGTTGACCACGATCTTTATGTCCAACAATCTAGAAAGAAGAAAACGAAAATAAATGTATTATAAGTTCATGAGAAGATATGACAGTCTTCAAAATGGAAGAAAACAGTAGTAAAATCTTCAGCATCTAGCCTGGCAAATGAAACTTCGTCGACTAAATATTAAAAAAACAAAACACGTAGATCAGCGAAGAGTCTCTTTTCGGTGAATTCATTTTCTTAGCAGTACAATCGCAAATATATAAGTGTTATTTTGTATGTATGTGTATATTAATTTTGTCAAACAAAAATACAATCGGTTATAGTTATTTTAACTAAACAGGTGAAGATTGGTAATTGGAGTTACGTAATACAAATCCGGGCAAGAAAATTAGGTGTTAGTGAAATTAGGGTAGTAACAAAGGTGATGAGTTCTCACGAACAGTTGTTAAAAGAAGTTATGCATTAATATGAACAGTTTGATGAGTGAGTGTTACTCAGGAAGCACATAGGAACAAAGTAGATAATACGAAATTACGTAAGAGTTCCAAATGAATACAAGAATTATAAGTAATTAAAGAACAGGTAAAGAAACAAAATTGAGTCATCAAAATCAAAAACTAAAATAAAAAAGTTGTTACCAAGACAGTAGAAGTGGTTGAGTAATCCTCTTTTGTATGCACAGCTCCAGTTTTTCTATGTGAATGGCCAGAGCTTCAGCGATACAAAGAAGACGAAACCGTATTGCCTTTGATAGGTTATTCTTGACTCTGTAGATTACTTTGAAGGAGGCGTTTGTTAAAATGGAATGATCAGTGTTAACCAGGTGTTCAATTATCGCACTCCTTATTGCACCACTATTGCCTTTTCGCAACCATGCTGGATAGTGTTCTTGAATCCTCTTGGACAGGGTGCGCGTTGAACGACTAATATACCTGGCTCCACAGCAGCAGGTGAACTGATATATGCACATAGAAGTGGTCAGATGAGGGATCTTGTCCTTGAGGCTTCTGCAGATCAGTGGACGACTGGAGAACACTATTCTTAGCGTTGCTGCAAAGAATGTTCTTCTCAGAGATGATGTGATCCTTCTCTTGAGAATATCGCTTGCTAAATCTCCCTTGAAATCTAAGTTCATGTAGAGTTCCTTTTTAGGCGCAATTAAAGTTTCGTTTCTCCGAATTCTTGGTTTGATATTTTTGTCGATGAATCTTATTGGGTATCCATTTTGGATAAACATTTCTCTTAGAATATCTAATTCTGTTTCCAGAACGTCGGGATTACAGATGCGTCGGATGCGGGTGGCAAGTTATTTAATTAAAATCCGCTTTTGTTGAATGGGTACCCAGCTATAAAAGCTTGTTAGCTGACCATTTCAAGTAGGTTTTCTATGGATCGATCTTTTTAGGCTCCCATTCAGCAAAAGCGGAATTTAATTAAATCACTTGCCACCCGCATCCGACGCAACTGACCCACAGACTCTCACTTCTGCACACGATCTCCTTCACGTTATCCTTTTGAAGATTCAAATTTTAATTACACAAAGCCACTTACCCAAATAACAATAATTGTGAATTAATAAATGCCACTAACTATGATCTCTTCTCAACGTGCACTGATCTAATGCTTCCGAAATTACACGGTGGCGGAAGTGACATAACGTAAGTAATTGCTGTAAATCACAAGTGCTCCCTAATCGAATCATTCCTATTCGCAATTACAAGCTATGTTTCTATATTAAAGGGAGAAAGTTGATCCTAACAGGATATTTCTCTTTTCATGTCAATTACAGTAGGTTCCAGGAAGGTTTCTAAGAGAGAAAACACATCTACTATGACTTTCTTTATCAAATGTTCTGAAAACTTTCAGTGCCCACTAAAAACTATACAATAATTTTCAGCTTATTTATCAATTTCTTCAAAGAACCTTTTTCTTAATCTTTGCTTTCACCCTAATGTAACAGAGAAATTCAAGGCTGTTCAACAACAAAAATGTGGTGTTTAAGTTCTACAGAAGTATGTACAGTCTTCTACTTTAGTGAGAAAACATATCCAACCCCAATGGGTCATTCCTGATGAGGAGTCCTGAAGTGGAACGAAATAGTTGTCCAGTATTCCCATGTTTTCCAGTAGTTCTCTAAATGATAGCATTTCTTCATCAAACTTGTAAAGGTAGGAAGTATCTGTCTAGTCAGAGCTTTTAGCAACCGCGAAACTCAACCAGTAATTAAATATAGCTTCGGCTACTTTGAGATGAAATGAAAGATTATCTTAGAGGTGAATGTGTCTAAAGTAGGAGAAGAACCATTCATAATTCAGTGCTTTTTTGGCTACATGTCTACACATTTAAGCGGCTTTAGGAACTTGTTTGTACGTTTTATAAATAAAATCATCTCTGGGATAATGTATCATAATGGCTCAAATTTGAAAAACTAAATTGCATTTAGCAATAAAAATAGACTGAGCGAATAAATATGTATTCCTTTTGAATTTGTTCCTCATTATTGGATGGCTCCACACTCGTATATAGTTTTTACATTGAAATGTTTTACCAATCAGATGGTTACTTTAATTGATCAGTTTTAGGTATGGGAGGCTGAAATTAAGAGGTTAAAAGTCATCAAAACAATTAACTAATAGATTTTATGCATTTATTCCCCTTGGTGAATAAAGCAAGAACAACAGTGGTTTGTGCAGAATAATATGGTACCATCATTGTTTATTTCGTTGGCTTCTCATCAACTGCTTATAGCCTAAATACATTATGAAGTTGATGTACAGAAAAGTTTTAACATACTTGCAAATTTTACATGTTGTCAGTTGACAGAAAGTTCCACAATTAGTAAAAAGTGCTCAGAAAATTGTGCTTTTATAGTTTTTACACAGGCAGTTCAAGTCAAAATAAATGTATGCATACAATGGTAAAGGAGTTACGTAATTAAGACGAGAGGTGAGTAAGATGATGAGTAACTAATAAATTTGGTAACGATGTACTGAGTTCAAATCACGTCACAGAAACAAGAGACAAGCAATATTACAGATTATAAAAAGGAGGGGTGAGGTTAAAGACAAAGATTACGTAATCGGAGTAGAGAATAAAGACATCCAGTTACCATGGCAAGGAAAGACTAACAACCGCTTCTTTCTGAACACATAAATCTGGTTTGAAGCGTTTGATAGAAATTGCTTCGGCAAACTTGAGGAGAATGGAGCTCCTTTGTCTGTTGATAATTTTAAAGGATTTCTCGATTTCCACCTCATGACCCGTGTCGAGGAGATGCCTGGCGATGGCACTGTTTAAAGAATTTGTTCCCCTTAGACGTAAGCTTTTTGGTACATGTTCAGAAAATCGTAGATAAACCCTTCTTTCTCTCCTTCCAATGTAACTGCTCCCGCAGATACATGTAAATTTGTATGAGAAGGATATCTATCGATTTTTGATTGCACCAAAGAGCAAGTTGTTCGATAGACGGGAACGAACTTAGCTGCAGGATAGGCTATAGCTAGTGATGTACTCAGCCTTCTGTTGATCATCGCTGTAATGTTTTCACCTTTATAATCAAGCTGAAAGTAGATTGGCTTTTTTTCTACTGTTATTTGTTTTACATTTTTGACTTCAGATCTTCCATACTTGTTGATGAACCTTTGAGGGTACCCATTGCTCTTCAATGTCTTTTCAAGAAACTCAAATTCTTTCTCTAATTTCTCTATAGAGCATATTCTTCTCGCTCTATAGTATAGAGTCTTGATTAGACCACATTTAAAGCTATTTGGACAAAAGCTATTGAAATGTAAGTATTGTCCTTTCCATGTGGGCTTTCGATAAATTGACTTTTGAAGACTACTGTCTTTTAGGCGTTGCATGGCAATGTCGAGGAAGTGAAACTTTCCGTCACTTTCATGTTCCATAGTGAACTCAATATTGCTATGTGCATCATTGAATAATCCGAGTAAGTGTGAAGCATGACTTTCATTGTTGCACACTATAAATGTGTCATCAACATATTGACAGTAGGAATTCGTTTCGTCGATTGCATGCTTCAACTTTGTTCTTTCAAGGTTGGACATGAATATATCTGCTAAAACAGGGCTAAGTGGACTGCCCATAGCTACACCATCTATTTGGCGGTTAAGAGTGTTGTCAAATTGGAATTGCACATCCATGGTACACATAAGAAGTAGGTGTTTGAATTCCGACTCGGGGAGTGGGAGAAGATCAGACTGCTGACAAATGATCTCAATAGTTTCGTTGATTGGAATCATTGTGTAAACAAGGAGGTTGCATCAAATGACATCATGAACTTATTTAAAACGTTCATGTTAGTAACAAGATATCTAAGTTTTGAAGGAGGGAGGAGTGGAACTTAATTGCGGAATTCAAGATAAGTTGATTCTTAGGCGGGATAAACTTAGTGGAGTTCTAATGAGAAATCGTAACCGATAGGGATTGTCACCTGGTTGAGTGTGGAGACACACACTCGCCAATGGTAAACTCTTAGACAAACTGAAGGAAGTTAGAATTCATGGGTGATTGAATTTCGACCCGGTAGATAGACTAGTCAATGGATTCATCTCGTATCCTAAAGTTCTTGGATATACACTGCTGAAGAGCTCCAAGCTAGGGAGAAACACCTGTCCACTACTCCCTAGTTTTTAAGGATTCTTTGTCTGATGTCAATTCGTGAAAGGATCTATCGTGAGATCAGTTAATCCATACCCAAATCCGAACAATTGGGAGTGTTGCATAATCTTTTTATTAGTGTAGGCTATAAGGTGCGGCGGCGGTGCTAGGTAAGGGTCAACACAATACCAATAGTATAAAGAGATTTTACAGTCACTCCTTCCGGTAAACATGTTTAATAATCCTAAAATATAACAGAGAAGAAGGATTCTAAGTGCGGTACATTTGTCTCTTATTGAATTATCATATACCTAGTCGCCAAAACTTTACAGACACATAAGAATTGCAGTGCGACGTTGTCTGCAACCAGCGTGTGCTAACAGATTGAGCGAAGAAAGATATTCCTTTTTCAATTAGTAGTTCCTGATCACAG